ATATACAATTAATTACTGTTTACTATTTGATGTATTTTTCATTTAGGAAAACTTAAATCTTGTATAAACTTTAAAAAGATAATTAATAATAATATTTATTGTTCTTATTGTTGTTAGTACTTTCAATCAATTTCTAATGCTATACATACTTTTTCATATCTCGTTTACATTGTTATAAGTATAAAGCTGTAATATACATGAATCTATGAAAAATGTAGAAAAAATTTAAAAGCATGTACTATACTTTATTAGGTGCGGCAGAGGAATTTTTTGAAAGTTTCTGCAGATATATAATTAATAAAAATTTGAATGCAGTAAATATGAATATATTTAAAAAAGAAACATGCTCGAATAGGTTGTAGATTGCACTGAAAACATTGTAAATACTGTATTATAAATTTATAAGATATTACTGAATTAAAACTTTTTAAATATTTCGTTCTTACGATCATGCACAACAAAAAATGTGATAATAATATATATAAAATTTATTTAGTGTGCACTAGAAGCATTTCACATGTATGTTAGCGTCTCTCTCTTCTTTATTGTTAAAAGTGGTAATGAACTTTGACGATACTAAAGTTTTAAACAAATCCAAAGACCACTGCAAGCGTTAAACGCATTTTTCATTTGACACCTATAATGATAACGCAATGCTTCAATATTTTAGGGTCAAAGTCTCACGGTGGTGCAACCTGCGCGGGTAGCAGTGCGAGTAATCAAGTTTTGAGTGTGAAGTCCAGCATCAGAGTGGGTAACGCAGCCAGTAATTCTGTGGAGAGCGGTGGGGGGGCGTTGGCACATGACGGGGCAGGCACTAGTGGCATCACGACAACAGCCACTGCCAATCCACCTGTGTCTGCCACCGCCGCTGCCAACCTTACACACCCTTATCCTACGCACAAGCATATATTACGTTCTCGCGCAAAAGCCTCCAGTGAGCAATCCAGAGAATTGCCGACTAGTAACAAAACTTCAGGAAAGCATCATAAAAAAGACACTACAACGGGTACTTGTTCAAGCTCCAGGTAATGGTTTGCACTTACCTATTTAATATGTATGTGCTCACTTTCAAGGGCTTGTTTAACATTAAAACTACCCCATGGATTAAAATTGAAGTCATTCTTTCAAAATCTCAATAAATACGGTTTTATAATTTATACAAAACAAATACGAGTACTTTGATCTATGTTAGTCTTTATAAATTACACTTAAAGTGCCAACTATAAAAGATGTAGTAGACAGTTATAAAATGAATGATTAGTAGAATAGAAGTATTTGATTTAGATGATTATAAATTCTTATAAGGGCCATCACACATTTAAATAACACAATTTAATTGATTTAGACACCGCTCTTCGTCACGTGCACGAAAAGCAGTGTTTGAAAGCGGTTCTGGAGGAGTGGGAAGTGTAATGTCAGGATCTGAATCCGTGACCAATAGTGCTACCCCAACATCGGTCTCATCTACGGTTCCTGTCAATCAGTTGGTTACTACAACAGGGGAGGACGAATCAGCATCTACAGCTACATCTGCAACTGGTACATTCACTTTGAAATTTTCTTTTTATAACAGGATTATGTCCGTTACTGTTTATTTGAAATATAATTTCCTGTGTTTACTTGATTAGCTAGTGGAGGACCTTCAGGAATGTCAGCTACCACAGGAGATAGCGAAAGCGATGATGGTGAAGTTGGAAGGTTGCAGGCATTATTGGAAGCAAGAGGATTGCCTCCACACGTATTTGGTGCATTAGGATCACGAATGCAACATTTATTAAATAGAAGCATGGGCGCTAGTTCGGGTATTAATTGGCTCCAGATAACTGTGAACACATTTTTATTTCATTGTTTAATTTAATTTATGTAATTACACTTTTAGCTGCGAAAGCCCAACAGCTCTTGGCTGGGCTACAAGCCGTTGACGATGAAGGAGAACAACTACAAGCTGTTATTGGAATGGGTGAAATTCTTGTGATGGGAAATGAAGACACGTTGACTGGTTTCCCAGTGAAACAAGTGGTTGCTGCTTTAATCAATTTGCTTGGCATAGAACACAATTTTGTGATAATGACACACGCTTGTCGTGCTCTAACTTACATGATGGAGGCTTTACCTCGATCGTCGACAGTTGTGGTAGATGCAGTCCCAGTGTTCTTGCAAAAGCTGGAATCTATCGAATGCATGGATGTTGCTGAACAATGTCTAACTGCATTAGCAATGCTATCACGTCGACACAGTAAAACTATTTTACACGCGGTATGCATCATTACTCCTGAATATAATTTAAAACAGACGTAATTAAATGTACTTATTTCTTTTTTTTTTCTTTTCAGGGCGGAGTATCAGCGTGTTTAAAATTCGTCGATTTCTTTAATATTACGGCTCAACGGGCTGCATTAACTATTACAGCAAATTGTTGCCAAAATCTTCATCCCGATGACTTTCACTTGGTAGCTGACAGTTTGCCCTTACTCACTAGTAGACTGACAAATCAGGATAAAAAGAGCGTTGAGTGTGTTTGTCAAGCATTTAGTCGTTTAGTTGATAGCTTTCAACATGATTCTGTAACTTTGCATAAAATCATCAATGCAGAACTTCTTCAAAATTTACAGCAATTGGTATTTATTTTTTTGTTTTTTATTGTATAACAATATTGTTGTAACATATTGACAACATACGTATTCTCTTTCTTTCAGCTTATGATTACACCACCTGTTAACAGTATCGGTAATTTCATAACAGTTCTACGAATGCTCTCTGTGATATCAAATCGCTGTCCTGACTTGGCACAGTTGCTTTTGCAACAAAATATTGCTTTCACGCTGAGTTATCTTTTAACCGGCTCACTGGAAGTGAAAACGGAGGATGTGGAACTGGTGCCACGTTCTCCGCAGGAGTGGTTTGAAATCACTTGTTTAATTGAGGAGCTAATGCCTCCTCTACCGACAGATGGTATATTTAGTGTAAATAGTTTACTCGAAAGGACCAGTAATCAACAAGAAAATGTTCATTGGGAATGGCGTGACGAAAGACATTGTTATCATCCGTTTAGTACCATCGATTCTAGAATTATCGAGGTATTATTAAGATACTTAAGGATTAACTATCAATTACAAAAGTATCGATATAAAATTAATACAATAAAACTATTTTTTACAGATGGCGTTTCAAAATGGCGAGGATGAGATTTGTCTTTCTTCTTTAGGACGAACTTATACAATAGATCTGACTGTGATGAAACAAATCAATGAAGACATTGGAGTGGCAAGAAGCATTTTTCGTAGAGTGAATACTCATCCCACAGAAGGCAAAAGTCCTACTTGTTTATCAAGGTAAATACCATTTATTTTTAAAACGAACAGGTACATTTAAGAAAACGTATTTTATCAATTCATGCATTTTACGTAGCATGGATGTTGTACCTCCAGTGATTGAAACAAACGAATGGCTAGTGTCCTTCATTCGAACTTTATTCTCCGTGCTATATGAAGTGTACAGCAGTTCTGCTGGTCCTGCCGTGAAATGTAAATGTCTTCGAGCTCTATTACGTATGGTCTACTATGCTTCAACTGATTTACTTAAGGTAAATATAAATGATGTAATAGAAAATATTTTTTTTTTCCTTTCTGTTCGAATTCTTAATTTTTCTTTTCATTTGTTCAGGATGTCTTGAAGAACCAAGTAGTATCGTCACACATAGCGGGTATGCTGGCGTCCCAAGATTTAAGAATTGTTATTGGAGCTCTTCAGATGGCAAGTATATTAATGAAAAGGCTACCACAAGTGTTTGGGGTTCATTTTCATCGTGAAGGTGTACTGCATCAAATACGACAACTAGCTGATCCTGAAGTACCTCTTGGTGTTTCACCACCCAAGTGTCCTTCTGGTAATTTAATAATCTGTCATTTATCATTGCTTATATTGAACCATAATAATACATATTTAATCACATTGCTCTTGCTACTTTCTAGGTACATCATTACCAACTCCACAGCCGGGTCCGTCTAATACATCACTTTCTTCCACCACAATGTTGTCTTCTAGTAACGCCACATCTCCAATAGCTTCTCCATCAACAAATGGTAATATATTGTTCGGTACAATTGCAACGTGTCAGTTGAAACCAAATCTTTCTGCATCGATGGAAGCACATGCTAGGAATGAATTGAATTCCATAGATGATGTTTCAACACCACAAAGTGCTCACTTGTAAGTATACAAACAATTGTATTTGCACGATGAAAAATCTCCGAGCCGTAAAATAAAAACATGTTGAAACCTGTTTACTCCTGCATTCTTAGGAGAATTGGGGACGTCTTGAAGAGGAAACGGCAAAGCAAAAAAGGTCGTTTCTCTAGATTAGGCGGTACAACACCACAACAAACTCAACAACCGGAATCACTTTTTACTGGTTTCGCTCCTAAGAATAATCGTTTCTTGGGCAATCTTAATCCTGCTAGATGGGGTCGGAAATCATCGTCTTCGAGTTCCACAAGTGATAAAAGAGATTCAAGCTCGTCGACGAGCTTGTCGAAACCACCGAGTAATTCAAGTTTAACTGCTGGTAATCGAGACAAGGCTAAAGCATGGGTTCGCGAACAGGCTGCTCAGTTTTTAACCCGTTATCAGGATAACGCTCCTTGCACGCATCCTGCGATGACAGTCCTTTCAAGACTCACAGCTGCTATACAACGGTTACAATCAAATGTACGTATAATTAATATTTGCGTATTCGTAACTCTATATGTTAGCATTTGTAGCAAGGCGACAACAAACAAAATATGTAAATATTTTTGGTAGATTTGGAAATTCAAAAAAAGTGTACATAAAATATTTGTTTTTTTGTGAGTGCATAATGTTACGTGGATCAGTAAATATTTTGTGCGTGTGATCGTACACTTAGATCTATCAAAATTATTCTTATTTTATGGTTTGTAATCGTATTTTAATTATCTTGTATTTATATCAATGATTAACAATTTGTCAACAGGAATTGGATGAAATGTTGTCTGCTCTTACCGAATTACGAGATATTGTACTTGAAAGTGATATATCTCCGTTCGAGATGAATTATAGTGGTCTTATTAAAGCTCTGCTCAACTACCTCACTACTACCGATGCACCTGGTAATCGTTACGATCGTCTTCGTATATTCTGGAAATTATTTGCAGAATCGACTATTGTAAGTAAGCCAAGATCGTTTTTATCAAAACGAAGAACTCTTTTGTTACTGTACTTAATTTTTAGATGCAGCAGAGTAACAATATTATGGATCTTAATCCTGGAGCATTTGGTGCTCTGGTAGCAAAACTAAATAGTTGTGTTGCGCAGCTGGAACAATTTCCTGTGAAAGTTCATGACTTACCAGCAGGATCTGGTGCTGGTCGTGGAGGCACTAGTGCTCTTAAGTTCTTCAATACGCATCAACTTAAGGTACGCCTTCTACCTTTGCAGCTATTTATGAGTCATTTATTGTTGGGTTTTCATAAGAAATTTTCATCTTCAAATTTTTATTATCTCACAGTGCAATCTTCAGCGACATCCAGATTGTAACAATTTAAAACAGTGGAAGGGAGGTACTGTCAAAATAGATCCCCTTGCACTGGTACAAGCAATTGAACGTTATTTAATTTTTCGTGGATACGGCAGAATACGAGAAGCAGAATCTATGGTCAGCGACGACGATAACAGTGAAGATGACATAGACGACACTCTGGTAATTTTTTTTCCTGTATTGTTCTTTCAAAGTGACCAATAAACTGTAAAAAAAACACATGAAATCTGCAATATAGTAATCACTTAGAATAAACAATATTTTTTCCTAATACAATGCATTCAAATTTACAGGCAGCTGTAGTTATAAGTCAAGGATCAGCAAAACACAAACTCCAATTCCTGATTGGGGACGAAGTGCTGCCTTTCAATATGACTGTTTATCAAGCTGTTAGACAATTTGGTTGTTCTGGGATTGATCATTCTGAAGCAGAAGCTGATGGTGAACCACCCCTTGGTCACGATGCTGTTTGGGTACAAACACACACAATTTATTATAGGTATATTTATTCTTTTATTTCATCACTTGAATGCATTGATATAATAATGAACATAAAATACAAATTTGAATGTCATACATATTTTAGGCCTGTACCGGAAGAAGAAACTACAGCATCGCCAAAACCGGGATCGAGTTCGCAAGGTAGTAGCCGTAAAGGTAAAGGGAAAAGTACAAAAATCAGTTCAAAACGGAAAGAAGATAGTTTATGGCTTGAGGGAACGATCCCTCCACAACGATGTCCACTTGAACCGTATCTGTCCCCTACCTTGCCACCTTCAGTTACCATTACTGATGCTTCATTAGACGGTTTGTGCTTACTGCGTCTCTTACACGCGTTAAATCGTCATTGGGGTGTTCTATTCCCTTACATAAAGAGTGTGAGTCTACTTTCTCCGCAAGACTTTATTAACAATAAGATAGCCGCGAAAGCAAGTAGACAACTGCAAGATCCTCTAGTGATCATGACTGGAAATTTGCCATTATGGTTACAACAAATTGCTACAGTCTGGTTCGTATTTTAAATAGTGATAGTACTTATATTGATACAAATAATCTAAACTAAACATATTATTAATTTTTTGTAGTCCATTCCTGTTTCCATTCGAGACAAGACAATTATTACTCTACGCGACATCATTTGATCGGGATAGAGCTCTGCAACGACTCCTAGATTCTGCACCGGAACTATCAGGATCTGACAGTCAAGAACGCGTTACTCCTCGTTTGGAACGAAGGAAACGAACTATATCAAGAACTGACATCCTTAAACAGGCGGAACAAGTTATACAGGACTTAGCATCTAGCAAAGCCTTACTTGAAGTGCAATACGTTAACGAGGTTTATTTACTAAATATATACATACACATACATATATACCAATGACTGTAAACTGTTAGACAATAATGTCTATTGCATATTTTCTTCCAATGTTAACATACTTGTATTTTACAGGTTGGTACCGGTCTTGGTCCAACATTGGAATTTTATGCTCTAGTCTCTCAGGAATTGCAACGTGCTGATCTTGATCTTTGGCACGGTAGTTCAAATCCTACTGAAGCAGGATATGTTAATACTCCGCATGGACTCTTCACAATGCCAACCTCATGGAATACTAAAGTATCTCATCTTGCGAAGTTGAAAACAAAATTTAAATTCCTTGGAAAGTTTATGGCAAAAGCGATATACGATTCAAGAATGGTATAAAAATTGTCGTATTATTGAATCTTTTTATGAACTCCGAACTCAGAATCAGAAAAAAAATTGTGTTTTAATTTTTCTATTACAGTTGGACTTGCCATTTAGCTTAACTTTCTATCGTTGGTTATTGGGAGAAGAACATACTTTAACGTTATCGGATTTAGTGTATGTGAGTCCCGAGGTACATCGAACTCTTAGTAAGCTGCAAGAAATTGTTAGACAAAAGGAAACGATTGAAAAAGATCAGACATTGAGGCCACACGAGAAAGCACAACTAATAGATTCATTAAGCCTAGATAGTTGTCCGATTTCGGATCTTGGCCTTGTTTTTGAATTACCAGGTTACGAGAACATCGAATTAAGGAAAGGCGGGAGCGATATACCCGTGAACATATATAATCTGGACCAGTATATCAAGGTACTTTTATTCAGTGTGCAGAGTGCAACGATAAACTGTTACCTTCTCCCTTTTCTATATCGTTTGAGATTGTTCATATAACAAACATTGTAACATTTACAATCCAATTTTCAGCTGGTGGTACATTGGTTCTTGTACGAAGGTATCTTCAGACAAATGGAAGCTTTTAGGGAAGGATTTGAATCTGTTTTCCCGCTATCACAATTAAAACTATTCTTCCCTGAAGAACTCGAAGCTGTGTTCTGTGGACATGCACAAACTGGTGGACAGTGGGACGTAAAAACACTTTCTGAATGTTGTAGAACTGATCACGGTTACACTCCAGATTCTCGTGCAATTCGGTTTTTGTTTGAAGTTATGTCCAAATACAACAGTGAAGAACAAAGACAATTCGTCCAGTTCGTCACAGGTTCACCTCGATTGCCAGTTGGAGGTAAATAATTTAGTACTTTCTTAACTAATTTCGTTCAGTTTTATATACCATTTTTAAATAGCAATATGAAATAATATAATAAAATGTCGTTTTTGCAGGTTTTAAGAGTTTAACGCCACCGTTAACAATAGTGCGTAAAACGTTCGATCCGTCTATGAAAACGGACGATTTCCTACCATCTGTAATGACTTGCGTTAATTACTTAAAACTGCCCGATTACACAACTTTAGAAATAATGCGGGAAAAATTGCGAATAGCTGCACAAGAAGGACAACACTCGTTCCACCTTTCCTAGAAACGGATGGAAAGCCGGCGCGCCATTTGCTCTTTTTGCTATCACATTGCCCAGGTTGAGACCAATTATCCAAACCGCATTAAAAATATTCAGAGAAACAAGAAACAGCTGCGTGATTCATTCGTAACTACAATAGTTACAGTTTTGCACTTTATAT